GCTGCCCGCGGCGGCGGCGAGGGCGGCGCCCTGGGAAGGAGTGCGTGCATAGACGGAGAGAGAGTAGCCGGCAGCGAGGAGGCGGCCGGCCATGGCGGCGCCCATCACACCGGTGCCGATCCAGCCGATTCTGGTCCTGTTAGGGCTGATCGGCCGGGGGTAGCCATCGCCACCGATTATGGTCTCCTCCATCGTATAGTCCCAGGGAACAATGCTGGCTTGCCGATTATGGTCTTTTTACCTTACATATATTTTATTAACTCAAAATTATAATTGTTGTTTTATAAAAAGAGAAATACACGTGTAAATGTAAATATTAAATTTTAGATGTTGGATGTGTAAATATGTAAGAATTTTAAGTATTTTGTAAATTTTTCTATTTATTTAGTGACGCAAAGTTCAATATTTCTATTAAATTTTAATCATTTAATTTATGTATTTTAATATTAATATTAATATTATTATCATTATTATTATTCTCAATAAATTACTTTTAGTCATGCTCAACTCTAGGAGCAATATGAGTCATAATAAATGTTTCTGATTAAATTCAAGATCATTCAGAACTCTGATTCTAACAAATTTATAAGCAAACTTTTCCGAATTAAGTTTGGATCAAGTTATTTAAACATGATTGGAGGCTTTAGATGGATGGTGGAATAGTCCAATAGATTTTAAATTTGATAAGTTTATAATCAAATCGAATAACTCAATAGCAACTCATTTGAGTTGAATTCAACGAACATAAAATCACTTGATTTAAACATTGTTAATACACTCAAAAACTTACGATCATAAGATTTAATAAGATTTACTTTCTAACATATTTTTTTGGAGTAATTTATTTTTTTAAAATGTCAAATAATTTTCGGGATTTAATCATCACACTTTGATAAATCCGGATTTACATAATTGCTAAATTCTATTTAAAGCACTCGTTTGGGGTAGCTTATAAATTCAGGTGGCATTTTGAAAACGTCGGTGTTTTATTTGGATGTCACGTTTGAATGATTATTAGGAAATGAATGCATTTTTTTCATTTCCTTAATAGACGGGGTTGTGGGATCGACCCCGCGACCTGCATCTGAATCTGCGTTCAAAGATTATTTCATCCCGTGTCCCTTCTACTATCCGTCACCTCCCTCGGGTCGATTGATCCCTCATGCCCTTCTGATCAAAGTATCTGTTGCACGAAAGAAGTTTGGACAAGAAGTTTGCAATGAGGGTGGTCGAAGGATCTCTACCTTGATCGAGAACCAGTCAACCGAGGTTGGGTCTCGCCGACGACAAAGTGCCTGCCGGCGACGAAGGAGACGACACAAGCAAGGGGAGTGTGAGTGCGGCGCTAGGGAGGTGGTTCATTTGGTTTCGTGAAGAATAAAAGAGGAGGCGAGCTCGGCTATATGAGTGGCCGACGCGAGGTGTCTTAGGCAGAGAGGTCTGTCAAGGGGGATGTTCCCCGACAAGGCGTTGGTGGTGGGCATGAACTAGAGTGGTGGTGTTTCTCGGGAACACCCTTGTGCACCCTAGGGCACGCCGAGATTGCGTGAGGGAGAGGGGTTTTAAAAGAAAATAAATTCTTTCTATTTTATATTTATTGATTTTATTTTAAACCCCCCAATTTGCATAGTTTAGGGTCGTGCACGATATCTGATGCGTGTTAGAAAATTTGCGGCGGTAGAGTAATGGATTATCGTCTTAGCGTTGCGCGAGGATTCAGCACACACTCAGATAAAAATGAATCAAGTTGTGATAACATCAAAAGTTTTTACGTGGAAACCCCATAAAGGGGAAAAACCACGGGACATGACCCAGTTGTAAAAATCCACTATAAGTTGATGATTACAGATGCCCCTTGTCCCACATGAGAGAAAGAGTTACTAGCTTTCCAAGTTACAACATCGACTGATGTCGTCTAGTCAGCGGTGGTTGACAGAGGTCGGTGATGATCAATGACAATCGAAGACAATTGATGACGGTCGACGGTGGTCGGCGGAGGTCAGCGGTGGCTGACGACAGTCGATGATGGTCGGCGGTGGTCGGCGGTGATTGGCGGCAAGGGCGGTGGGCGACAGAGGGCGGCAGTGGTTGTCAACAGTCAGTGGTGATCAACGGCAATCGACGATGGCGAGAATGATCTTGGACTTGAGCTACTTCTCAAAGCCTCTAGTTCTCTCTTAAGCCTCTCCCCTCATGTGAAGTGTGGAACTCTATTTATAGTATTGACTCTATTTATAGTGTTATGGATACAATTAATGCAAGAATATGAACCATTTTAATCGAATGATCCGGAGAGCTTCCCTTGATAAGATGATATTTGATGGATATTTGAGTGCCTTAACGATGTCGGAATTGAGCAATCTTGGGCTCGTTGGATTCGTCTTGTCGATATGCTCGATTCGACTATGAACTCACTAGATTCAACATCTGTTTGACCTTTCAAATGCCTCAGGAAATCCTTCAAGTTTTGATATGAGCTAGATTTAACTTGGATTAGATCAATTTTGGTATCATCGGGTCAGTCTCATTGAGACGATCAGTTTTACTATAAGTTTATTGAAATCGGGGCTCCGGATGACTCTCAATCGAAGTTTGAATGTTTTATTTTCAAAAAATTGTCTTGAGATTCATGTTGGATGATGAAAATTTGTTTGTGGCGTATCAATATCATAGCAAATTTGGTGACATTCATGGCTAAAATCGACGTTACGAACGCGCTCACATAGTCCCTTTCGCCATCCCGGCTCGTATGGACAATTTCATTGACGATCAGGCCAACTTAGGTTCATTTTGGTCATTTATTCAGAAACAATTGTTTTCCAAATGCACAAACCATTTATCTAGTCAATTTATCCAGAACAGAGACAGAATGATCATTTATCTAGAAATAGTTGCAAATCAGCTCTTTTCCAAACATTCAAACGAAAATGTAAGTCAGCTTATTCTGATCAGTTACTGATGAGCAGCTTTTAAGGATAAGCTGAATAAGCTGCAGCTGCCTCAAATTGACACTAAATCTTGCAAACAAAAACCCTAAAGGTTTAAAATATAAATTTCAAATATCTAAAGGCCGTGTATCTAAATCACCTATAAATCATATATTATTAACTGGCTATATTCTAAAGTAGAAGAAGACCATGCTTTTTTACTCCCTTAGAAATCGCATTTTCGGAGATGGAGATGCCATAAATCGACCGGCCGATGGTATCGGCCGTCCTCCTCCGCCTCCTCTTCGCCGTCGCCGGCCTTCTTCTTCTCTCCTGCTCTCTTCACCCCGCATCGGTGCTGCAGCTCCCTCCCTCTTCTTTCATCGGAATATCCCCTGAAGACGAGAAGTACTACTCTGGATCCAGCATCGCTTGCAGGGACGGCTCCAAATCCTTCACTCTCAACCGCCTTAACGATGACTTCTGCGATTGTCCCGACGGAACCGATGAACCAGGTGCGTTCCATGATTTCCGAATTCTAATTTTCGATTTCCCTACCCTAATTTGATCCTGTAGGAGCAAAAACCGTAGCCCTAGTTTCAACTCTTCAATTTGCTTAAAATTCACCTTTGCTGTAACCAGTACTGAAAAGCAATCCATTAAAATGAACTAGAAAGCTGATCCATGGAAGATTGCCATGCTCCTATGTAGTAGTGGTTTTCAATCATTATTGTTGACTGTTGCATGTGCTGTTATGTCTTTCATTTTCCTTCTGTGTTCTATACTTGGGGAATTTACATACATACCACCTAATTCTTACATATTTACATATCCAACACCCAAACACTACTTTTTACAACCATAACCACCCAAATCTTTCATGTCATATTAAAAATATCATCTTTTTAACTATACACATTTTCATGTATAGATAAAGTGGCATATGTAAAAAATAAAAATTTAAGTGTTTAGATATATAAATACATAGAAATTGTGTGATATGTTGTAAATGCTCCTTTTATTTTTAGAGCCTGTGCTTGACACATCATCTTTCTGGTTGATTATTTGATCTTGTTAACCACTGCAGGAACATCTGCCTGCCCTGAGAGCAAGTTCTATTGCAGAAATATTGGTGATGTCCCAAAACTATTGTTCTCATCTAGAGTTAATGATCGCATCTGTGGTCAGTTATCTCCCTTCCTTGTTTTTTGAAGTTTTACATACATACCCCTAAATGCCTATTTATTTACATATTTAACATCTAAACTTCAATATATGTATATATGTCATCTTATTTACGTATGAAAATGTGTATTTTGGCTCTTAAAGGTTAAAATAATGGTCTTTTTGGGTGGTGTTTGGTAGCATGCAATTCATAGGATTTACAAGTGGATTTAACGTAACTCCACAAAAACACGAAAAGAAGAAAAGTAAAACTGGTGGTTCGCTAAATCCATTTTTTTCTCATTTAGTCTCTTATTTTACCTAAACCCGGATCTAAATTTGATTTTCAAGTGGATTTAAGGGATTTAGCTTCGGAAGAAAATTAAATTCTCAAATAAGATGCCCAACACTTAAGTGGATTTAACCTTTATTGAACCAAACACTATTCTGGATTTGATAAATCCGGATTTACTAGATTTACTAAGACGGTGTTTGTTGCAACTTAGATTTACATTAAATATGATTTATGAAATCCGATTAATCCGGACTTATGACGGTGTTTGTTGCAACTTAGATTTACATTAAATAGGATTTATGAAATCCGATTAAGCCGGACTTATCAGATTGACACTGCGACGGAAGAGCTCGCGAGCGATGGCAGAATAAATCCAACTAGTAATTGGATTTACTAATCTGTATTTATGTCTTAAAAATGAGGGAACGCGGGGAGAGGAAAACAGAGCTCGAGAAAATTGGATTTTTTTTTTTTTGTTTGTTTGATGTTTGGCTGGATTTAAGTTAACTCCATGGCTAAATCCTATTACTATATGCTAACAAAGACTACCTAAATCTTAATTAACCTAAACCTTAGGTGCTGTCAAACAACCCCCCTTGATGTTAGATATGTAAATACATAGGAATTGTGTGGTATATATATGTAAATGCCTCTTCTTTTTTATTTCTACATCCTCGTAATTCATCTTGACATCAATGAATTGTACTAGATTGCTGTGATGGAAGTGATGAGTACGGTAGCGGCGTTATATGCAGAAACAAATGCCTCAAAACTGGAACTGATGAGTTGACTGAGGATGACAATCATCATTCGACTGAAACAAAAGTCAACAATTATAGCATGGAGGAAAAGAAAATTAGAGTTGACCTGGAGGACCTTCTCTTAAATCTGAAAGGTATTCTACAGGCCATTAATGGCGGTTTTGATGCTGTCATATAGTGAAAAATAACTGCATTGCTCTTACTTTGTTTGGTGGCAGGACTGAGGTTAATCACAGTAGTTGAGCTTGCCTCTTTAGTGGCTCTGCTTATCTTGATTTGTCGGCGAACCAGGATTCGAAGAAGACCCCGTATTTATCGAGAATTTAATTAAGAAACAATGCCCAATTCTTATGTATTTACATATCTCACACCTAAACTTTATTTTTTACATTTATGTCAACTCAAATCTTTCATATCACATGACATTTTAATCCTGAATTTGACCTGCCATGATGTATTATCTGTTTGTCAAATGGCTTCCACAATACCTCCGAATCTCCCCCTTGGCCCCCTTCTTGACCCCAATTCCCCCCAATCTCTCCATACCCGCCGCAAACGCCGCGAAGAACCTCCCCTTATCTCCGGCCATCTCCCTCACCATCGCCGCCGTCCTCCCATCTAGACCCAGCGCCTGATCCGTCCCCAGTACCCCCATCCCCTTCCCAATCCCTACATAATACTCGTTATCGAAATTGAATGGTGTCTCCACATCCAGCGGCGCCACCACGTCGACATTCCCGCCGATTCGCCGGCCTCTCCCGCCCCAGAAGCCGGGGATCCATCGCCGGTGCGGAGCCGGAGTAGAGGCGGGAGACGAAGTGGTCACAGTGCGAAAAACCGATGGTGTGGGCTCCCGAAAGAGCCACAAGGTCGGTGGTGGTGAGCCCCTTAGCGGCGAACAGGGCGATGAGCTCTGTGACGGTGGAGTTGGGGCGGGGAATGCCGGCGCGTACCTTGCTCGCTGGTGACCGCTGTGGCTTGCTGTCTTTCCTCCCTTTCTTCACCGCATAGTAAGGCCCGCCTGCCTGCCAATACAATCCAACAATGGAGGTCAGTTAATACCAGTTAGGCCGTATTGAACATGTTTGATGAATTGTCTCTTATGAGAGGAGAGGACCAGATGGACGAAATCGCGGGTGGCGATGGCGAGGATGTCGGCGCAGGAGACGAGACCAGGACACAGTTTCTCCACGGCGGCCTTGGCTAAGTTGACAGTGTCGAATCCCTCTGGAGCCAAGTTCTTGTTCTCGGACATCTGCCTCTCCACAGCCACTCCCTTCCCCTCCGAGCCCTCATCCAGTAATATGGATCCATCACACCCCTACATCCACATATCATGAATAGGTAAGATGGCATATATGCATGTAAAAATTGTATGTTTTGGTGTTGGATTGATATGTAATTATAATATGAACTGTGTGATATGCATGCACACATTTATTTATATATTTAACAAATAAATTTTAATATTTATGTCTCTTAGTTTAGTAATTTGCTCGAAGAAAGGGAAAAATTTTCAGTCTAGGCTCCGTACGTAGTTCTGCGTGCGGACTTTCAATAACATGCTCTCACATGGAGGTTATTGAAGTGAAACCGCGGAGGTTATTGGAGGGTTATTGCGGGGGGTTATTGAAGTGAAACTGCGGAGGTTATTTGAGTGTTACTGCAGGGGTTATTGGTGTGGAATCGCAAAGGTTATTGGGGGATTGTTGAGGGATAATTGCAGCATTATTTGAGTTAATGCCCTAATAACCCTCCCTATAACCAGCGCAGTTTCACTTTAATATTTTTTTAGGGGGCCCAATATAACACGTGGTGGCATATTAATGCAGTCCGCACGCGAAGCTGTATCCCGGCGCCGGATAGAAAATTTTCTCCAAAAGAAAGAGGCTGGTTAGACTTATAGTCTACATGAGATCATGTGGGGTCAAACATGTCAAGGTGCATTTACATACATTCCACACAATTCTTATGTTATGTATTTACTTATTTAACACCTAAAACTTCATATTTACATGCCTAACACTCAAATCTTTTCTATAATATCACATCAAAAAACATACTATTGCTTTCCTTTTTTTAAAAGTGAATATACATTTTCATGCAAGAGCTTATTTATGACACCTAAACCTTGATATTTACCTCCATACCACCCAATTTTCATATATTTACATATCCAACACAAAAGAGAGCGAAAGTAGAGTACTTGGAGGAAGCAGTCATGGAAGAAGAGGCGAATGGTGGCAGGGCCGGAGGAGGGGTGAGATGTATGGCGAAGAGAGGTGACGGAGCCGACGAGATTCTCCACCTGAGGGCATGATTTCTGGTAGTAGTCCGGCGAGAGCTGCCGTGGCCGTGCCGGCGAGCGGACCCTCTCTTGCCCACGGCCGCCTGAGCTCAATAAGAGCAGGAGGAAGAAGAAGAAGAAAAGGAGGAGGAAATGAGACATTTTGGAGCTCCTCCGAATCTTCACTGCTCGTGAGTGCGTCGTCTCTCTGTAATAGCCCGTGACTTTTATGGCCTTTGGGAATTTATTATGCTTTTTAATGGTGTTTTAGAATCATGGTCACGAGAACTGCACTGGATTTGGGTCTGGGCTCATTTAGAATGCACTCATATTAATATGACGCATTTACGTACATGCCCCCACAATTCTCATGTATTTACATATGTAAACTCTTGGCATTTTGTTGACTCGTAAAATTGTCATTCGAGAAACACACCCTGAGAGTTAGAACTGAGAGGAGAAGAAAGAAAGAGATAGAGATAGAGAGTGAGCGAGAGAAACATTCTGTCTTTATTCATGCGAGTACCGCCTATTTATAGGGCCTTTAAAATATAGTTATAAAAAGGTGGGTGTGGTTATGATAACTGCCCCAGTAACTAAATTCTGTTGGATGAGAATTACATTACAACACAAAAATATGATATTTGGCGGCCGCGCGAAATCATGGGACGATTGGTTAAGTTGATCGCGTAAGGGGGGTTCAATCAATTGATGAAAGTCCTTCGATCGCTCGATCGCGTCTTCGTGCCCTATGGGTATGCCGATCACTACATTTGTTGATCTTCAGGTATATTGGTGGATCGATTCGTGTGGGTCAGCCAAACTTCGATTGCCTGGGTCTCCGTTCTTGATCTTTCGATTCTTTTGAGATTCGCGCCGTAATTTTTGCCCTATAAACATGTATATTTACCTATATACCACTCCATTCTTTAACATCAAATAAAAATTATCACAATCACTATATTTTTAGAAGTGAGACATATCTTTTCTTGTATAGATTTATGAGACACCGAGATTTTATAAGTTCGACTATTAAATTTTGGGCGCTCGATATATAAATACGTAAAAATTATGTGGTGTGTACGTAATTTTCCTTGTATTTTATCGAAAAATATTAGTAAATATGTGTAAAAACGTGCAATCTTGTTCAGCTTATTTGGCTAATTGATTACCCATAATATGAACATATAGCAGATCCGTGAGTAGGGCTTTTATTCGTGAACAGCTCGTGTTCCGCTCGTTAAGTAGCTCGTGTCCGACTTGTTCTTTATGTAAACAACCCGAACGATCAATTCTTTGTTCGCGTGTTCGGTTCTTTATAGCTCGAAATAAAAAAAAAATCATATAATTATTTATATAATGATATATTATTATTATTTATATCTAAGTTTAAATCATAACAGCTCGTGTGGTACTGTGGATCATCTTCACCAATTTATAAGTGAGTCGAGCCAACTCATGAACCAGTTCAAGCTCGGCTCGATAATTGGCTCGTGAACTGAGCTCGATGAGCTAACAATCTAAAAGCTCAAACTAGCCCCAATTTGACTCGTTAACTCGTGAGCTGGCTCGTTTAAAAAAAAAAAAACTTAATATACAATACAGTCAAACATATAATAAATTTGAAATCTTTATCTTTAAAATAGATACAAAGTCCAAACAAAAGGTGTCAAAAAATTGTTAGAAATGTACAATGCAGCCCCTAAACCCTACCAAAATTTACAAAATGAAATCAAACCAAGCAACCAGTAAATAAATTTTTAATTTTTAGGCTCCATAGATGAATTAGATCTGAATGAAACATCAGACCAGTTGCTGTCTGCTTCATCTTCTTCCCTAAACTTCCTATGAACCTTTCTCTTCAGCGCATCCTTCAACTTATGCGCAGACTTCCCCGCATGCTTCATTATATTTACAGCTCTCTCCCTAACACGACCACCTTTCATGGGTCTCTCCAGTTCTCCAGAGGAGAACTCATTATTTTTGGGACCCTTAGGTTTAATCACTATGCCATGTTTGTGAAAGTCGCCATGGATCTTTCCGTGAGTTTCGACGATGATTTTGGCCTCATTGTGAGATGATTCCAATGATTTGGGGGGGCTTCCACTCTCCCATGATATGGGAGCATCGTAGCCGGGATGATGGAGCCAATATTCGATGTTTTTGGGCTCGAAGTTATCTACAAGGATCTTTTTGCCGACCTCATGGGATGAATCTTGAGCCATTGGGTTCGACCCGGCGCTCGTTGTCTCGGACACAACTGAGGAAGAGTCGTCGTCACCGATATCATCATTTTCGTCGTCACTTTGGTTGGCTGAATTCTGCATGGAGGAGAGATAAATGTTGTATTTCATGCATATAACTTGAATCTTGACTGTTTGCATTATCAACATATCATCATGCCTCCAATATTTTTTGAAGGAGAAATTACATTACATATCACATAATTCCTCAAGTATTTACATATCTAACTTTTAAACTTTGATTTTTTATATTTATATCAGTTTGCCTATACATGACAAGGTGTATTTCATTTTTTTGAAAGATAGTAATAGAGTTATGGATGTAGAACTCAATGTTTGGATGTTAGATGTGTAAATACAAAGAAATTATGTGGTATGTATTCAAATGCAACTTTTTAAAATCCTTGCCCAAATGATGAAATCATCTTTTGTTTGGTTTGGTGGGGGGCTTTTACATGCACACCATTCAATTCTTATGTACAAACATATCTAACACTTAAACTTTACTTCTTTACATTTATACCCAAATTATTTCACTTAAACTTTACTTCTTTACATTTATACCCAAATCTTTTATATCACGTCAAAAATACCACTATTTTAACTTTTAAAAAACAGAAACATATTTTCATGCACAGTTTCCATGCACAAGCAAGGTGGTATGTATCATGTAAACATTAAAGTTTAGGTGTTACTTATATATATATAAATACATAAGAATTTCGTGGTATGTAGGGCTGTCAAAATGGCTAATTGTTCTCGAACAGCTCGTGCTCGGCTCGTTCTCTAAATACAAATCTTTGTTCATGTTGTTCGTGTTCGGCTCGTTTTGGCTCGAAATACTACTATTCAATTATATATATATATATTTGATGAGTAGTATTTTTAAAAGATTTAATTGACTACAAGGCTATAAAGATTTATATTCAATTAAAAGTAATATTTAAGAAAATAGAATAAAAATTATTAAATTATATTCAAATCATGTTTTAACATAAACAATAATTTTTAAATCTTGTCTCAACCCTTAACATCTTATGGCTGCGTGATTAGGGTTGTCAAAACGACTCTTCGTTCGTGAACAACTCGTGTTCAGCTCGTTAAGCAAATTTTTTTGAGCTCGAAATATAAACAAGCCGAACACGAGCTGAGCCTGAGATCGCTCGTGTTCGGCTCGTTTACACACCTAACGGTATGCATGTAAATCTCATTTTATTTTTTAGCTTTTTTTTGTGGCAAAATTCTACACGATTTGATCATGGCGCATGCAAATACACAGGTCTAGCAATTCAAAAGAATTAAATTGGCATGGGCATTAAGTGCTTAAAATATCTTTAAAAAAATTAATGTTAGCGTACCTTATCCAACTCAACCCCGGTTATGGTGATTGCCAAGCGCAACTTTCCAGTTTTAAGTGTTAGCCACTTGTCATGCCTCTGTCCACTTCTAAGATCAGTTATATTTATGCTACAACTTCTGCAAAAGGCCAAATCAAAGTCAACAAAAGTTAAATTACTCATAAATTTGCACACATACCATTCAATTCTTATGTATTACATACCAAACATCAAAACTTCATTTTTTTTTTTACATATATACCACCTTATCTATGCACGAAAAAGTGCATTTCACAAAAAAATAAATAAATAAAGTTTAGGTGTTAGATATGTAAAAACATGAGAATTGAGTGGTGTATGCATATAATTGCCCCAATTTTATGATAGTAACAGACCCTATCAGGTTATCAAAGATGTGATCTTTTTCATGAACTTCAACGGTTAGCTTATTGCATGCTTCCCAAGAGGTGATAGGAACTTTAAATTCTTCGAGCCATTTCGGCGACACGGTTTTCTTCTGAATCTTAGTCTGGAATCTGTAGGGGCCGAGGTGACCTTTCACATATGGGTCTGCTGGGCCTGCAAGATAAGTAGGGAGTTCTAAGAGAGAAGAAATCTCTTTGAAATTTTACACACATACCACTCAATTCTTATGAATTTACATTTCCAACACCTAAACTTCAATCTTTAATCTCGACCGTCGATCAGAGCAAATGAGTATTTCGGTGGGCCCCAATTTTAATTTTTTTTAAAAAAAAAAACTTGATCGACGGTCAAGATCAGTGCATACGCTGTCCGTATGGAATACTTTCTCCTTTACATATATGTCTACATGTCCGTACGTAAATTTCTTTTTTTTTTTTTTTTTTTAAGTTTAAAAAGCAAATTTAGATGTTATTGAGTGGCATGCATGTAATAAGAAAAGTTTGGAGAGTGCGCCGAGAGCCAATCAGAATCTGACACATGGCATCTTGCGCGCAGATGTGTGCAAACCTACCGTTACTATCTGACAGTTGCATTTCAACCGCTTCAATAATCTCCACTCTGGCAAAAGCAATAGGACTCTTCACATCAACAGTGAACCAACTTCCTGTGAAGTTCATGGAACAAGAGATAAGATGTAATGTTTTCTGAAACTTCTGAATAAATTCATATTTTTAGTACCAGAAACTACTTTATTAAAAAAAAAAAAAAGTGATAAAAATAAAAATTAATGGCAGATAAAATCATAGTGCATCAATCATCAATACTGCTAGGGGTGTAAATGAGTCGAGCCGCGCTATACTCAAGCTCGACTCGAAAGCTCAAATTTGAGCTAAACTTCAAAAAATTTTTAAAAAAAAGTATATTAAAAATTTAATGAAATAGTACCATTTTTTTTTATCGTACAAGTAATGATTAATTAATATAATCGAGCTGACTCGGTGAGCTCTCTACTCAAGCTCGACTCGAAAGCTCAAATTTGAGCTCAACTTCAAAAAAAATTTTAAAAAAAAGAATATTTTTTTTTTATCCTACGAGTAATGATTAATTAATATAATCGAGCTGACTCGGTGAGCTCTCAAGCCAAGTCAAGTTAAGCTCTAGTTAGAGCCTGCCTGCTGACAACCAACCAATCTTTGATGGTTAAATGTCAAGTTACCTGCTTCTGCCGACGCGAATTTCTCTGCATCAATAACCAGCATATTTGGCTGAGGGAAAAAAGGTTTTGTCGATTAGAAAACAGCTATAAATCATTAAATGTGAATCAAAAAAGGTATTGCTTCCAAGTTTATAATTGTGTAAAGTAAATATCCAACTCACCTCGACCAAAGTTCGCTCAAATGCAACGTCAATAATTTTATCCTGCAAAACACGAAAAAAAAAGGAAATTTCATATCCAAGTTTCCGAATGGGCAATGGAGGACCTACCAGTTCTTGGCATGTTAACGAATATTACCAGCCAGCTTGCAATTCCTGGAAGATCAGTAACATCAATGCCATGATGGAAAATTGGTTTGACAATTATCTGAATGTATGGTGGCTCAATAAAACATACTCGGACGCGTCCTATAAAGGGCCAACGTTGAATAAACTTCACTCCAACCAAGACCTACACAAGAATATTTTTGGATGAAATTACACAAGTTTGAGACAGATTAATCTTTCTTAAGTAATTAAGACCAAACTTATGGAAAAGAGGCACAAGAAAATCCTGCCAACATGTTTAAAACATAAAATACTGTTTGGGATGATTTTTGGTTTTAGTTTTTTTTATTTTTTTCTATTTTTGTTTATATTTTTACTTTGAATGAAATATTTTTGATACTTTAGAACATTGTTTGTTGTTTTATTTTAAATTTTAGAAAACCAAATTACATTTCTTTAAGAAAATAAAAATAAAAACTTACAAAAAAGTACTAAATAAAAATCACTAAACAAATATGTATTTAAAATAAAAGCAAAATTAAAAACAAAAAAAGAGCCCAAATAAGCCCCCTATAATTGCCAGATCGCCAATAGAGTTTCAATTGAAAGTTATCCAACAGATTTTTTGATCGAATAAAACGCATTATCTTTAAGACTCCACTACCCTACTCTTCATGCTCACTTAGAAAAATCTAAAGGACAGAAACTTAAGACATGATCGACACAAGAAACCATATGGGTATGTGATTTCAAAAAATACAGCATTAATAATGTACTATTATTCTATGTATACAACACTAGCACATAAATTTAAGAATAAGAAAAAAAAATAGCAAACATACCCATCATGCTAATCTAGACGCAGCATAAAAACTGAGATTTTTTTGAAAAAACGAGCAAAACGTATATCCCCACAAGCTGATTTTGGCGATTTCATAGTTGGAATTTGTAGGATAATTGAATCCATAGTATCCTACCGAAACTCCAAGCTTGCTAATCTTTCAAGGTTCTAATTTTCATTTTTAGTCCTAAACGTGCATACCTAGGGCACTTGGGTAGTATTTTCAATTCCAGCTTAGGGGACTCTACAATTGAAGGTTTCAAAGTTTAGCTATTATAGAGTTATCGAAACGCTCAAATATAACCTTAGCAATTCTAGTCACCGCCATCTAACAATAGAGCCAATTCTTGCTTAGGTTCTTCTCATCACTTCAAAAGCATGCACTGCCCTATTAGGTCAAACTCTAAAGTCTTATCCCTCACACACCCTTCCACCTCAATGATTACCAACATAAATGATTTAAGAGGCTCAAAGGCATCCCTAATACTTTTTTGGGAGGCTATAAGATTAGCACATCATTCCATAAGAACTGGTTTGGCTCGAGGCATCTGAAAGAAGGCGGAACTCCTGCATGTCTGGACAGGTTCGGCCCAGCCCTGTTCTAATAAATTAAGATCATTTTTTATACAATAAGTCGAAATCACTAATAAATTAAGATCATTTTTTATACAATAAGTCGAAGTCTTTTGAGGTCTACCTCTACCTTTCTTAACATAAAATTAATCTAAAACATCTACTCTCCTAATTGGATCATGAGATAGTTGACGTTTAATGTGGCCAAACCATCTAAGATGACTCTCTCTAATTTTGTCCGCACTGGAGCTACACCCACCCTATCACGGATCTATTCATTTCGCATTTTGTCTCTAAGTCTAAAGCCACTCATCAACCTACTCATTCTCATCTCAGTAACATTTACCTTAATTTTATGCTTCTCTTTTAAAGGCCAACATTCAACGTCATAGAGCATTGCAGGTCTCACCACCATCTTATAAAATTTTCCTTTCAGTCTAAGCGGTAATTTTCTATCACACAATGGGTCGGAAACATTCATTCACTTCAACCAACCAACTTAAATTCTCCTATTAACATCCCCATCTATATTGTACTTAAATTCTCCTATTAACATCCCCATCTATATCATCATCGTTTTGAACAATAGACCCGAGATATTTAAATCGTTCACACCTTTTAATAATTTGATTAATAATTTGATCACCCAAAACATTAGAGCTACTACTACTAAAATTACATTCCATGTATTCAGTTTTAGTTCTACTTAAACGAAGGCCTTTAGACTCCAATGTAGAC